TGCCAGGGAAGGCGCGCACCGTCAGCCACTCTTCTTTTTTTTGTTCACGATACCGAACAACCTCATTTTCGTCCAGATATACAAGATGCACGCCTTTCAGTTTCTTTGATAGAACGCTCACCATTGTCCTGGCCGTCTGAATTGCGCTTACTGAACGTTCTCTCAGGTTGTTCAGCGTGGCCTGGTGCTTCACGAGTCCGCCAACTCCGTCACATGCATTTTTCCCATGTCCAGATGCAGAAAATAACCACTGGGCTTGTGGGCAATCGTCCTTTGCGAATTGGTGAAGCTGGTAGCGATTCTTGAAATGACTGGCGGCACCGTCACTTACGTACGTCACTTACGAGTATACCGCAACGTTGTCTTCAACCCACTCCTTCACTTTTTCTAGAGCCAAGCAAGCGTGAGCGGCGTCGTGACACAGGTCCTCACTGATGATGGCAAAGCTGTTTGTAGATTTTCTTGTCGTCACTACACATGTAAATATCGAAACTTGTTTTTTTTTCCAGTGATATGCTTGCACTTCGTCAGGAAGCACGATGGTCCAGTTTTCAGCAAAGTCAAAATGAAAGACAATCATCCCGCGTTGCATGCACTGTTTTTCATCGTAGATCGCTTTACCTTGCGTTTGCCGGATATGGTTGTGAAGTACCCAACTTCCAACCGTCACTTGGATGAATTTAGGAAAGTCTCAGGTTCCAAAGTTTTTTTCACAAGGTCGCCGGACTCCCATGTTGCAAGCACAATCTCTTCATCCTCCGGGATATCAAGTTCCTGGAGTGTAAGAAACTGGCCTTTTGGGCAGTGATCACAGTCTCCTTGAAGGCACAGTTCTGTTGCTGGGTCGCACAGAAATGTCGAGTTCATTTCACCAGTGTTGAATGTTGAGCCTGTAACGTTCTCTAGAGCGGCAATACAAAGATAATAATTGGCGCAGCGCACACAAACGCACACTTCCTGGTGTGGAATACATTGGACCCATCTAGGGCGCAACGAATAAAATTTCGTTAGCCCAACGCCGGAATCGGGATGCTTGTCTTTGTATATACGGAAGGCCTCTCGTATTGAGAGTGTCATGAAGCGCTTTGGCACGAACGTTTTCTCTCCGTTGAGCATGACAGAGATGACGTCCTTCTGGTTGGGACTTTGGCGCGAACATTGTAGCTCGTCTTTCGTGAAGTACTCTAGGGCAGCAGACAGGTTCTCAGGGCTCACCTTGCACCTCTTGTAAGGATCCGGCTCATACCACACGCCATGCTTTTCCTTGAGTTTTCGGGATTTACTGATGAGGTACATTGAGGCCTGTGGAATCATCTTTTGAACCTCATTCTTCGTCAGTGTTGACGGCAGGAGTGTAAGCAGTTGACAACGTTCCCGGAGAAAGGTGGCGGTTTCAAAGGCCTGCCGAAAGTTGTCCACCCACTCAGTGCATGTGGAGCATGTTGGTTCGGACGACCCCGATGGTGCGTCCCTGTCGCACGCAATACGTACGTATATTCTTGACAGCAACCTGCTCCAGTTCTGTCTGCTTTCTCTTGACATAGGCAGGCCTGTCCCGACTTCCGACGACGCTTGGTTGTCTCAGCGGCGACACATCTGTAGGTAGTATGCTGCGATTTAGATCTTCAATTGCTTCTTCAGCTGGCACAAATATGTCAGGGCACTGCTCTGAGCTTCGCATCGAGATCTCCTTAGTGATGTGCATGAAGCAATGGTAGCACAGGTAGTCCGTCGCCCTCACTTTGGTGGAACAGTCAGGCGGAAGAATTTGCTTCAACGAGTTTAGGTCCAACTCGCCAACACTTCGAAAATTCCGCTGCTTTGGTATAGTCTTTTTGTGTTTGCAAAAGTAATCTGCACAAAACACTCGTTCGGAGCTCCAGGACGTCTTCATAATGTATACATAAATAATAGAAATGAAACCCCAACTGATGGCATATAATCGCCAAGTGAAAGAACTACTGGGTGCACAAGTGACAAGTCCGAGGCTGAGGAGCTCACTCACTGCAAACGTACATTTGAAAAGAGAGGTCACAACTGAGGCTGTCGGCAAAGCTTGATCCACGTCAAAGGAAGAAAGAGGGAAAGTCTCCAGACAAAAAATTGTGGTCAGCGGCCTTCGAAAAAGACTTTCCGGAATCGCACTGTCGTCCCTCCACGCGCTGATATGAAAGCACCCGAGCTTCTACCACGTGGTTCATGACACAGCCTGAGCCATGTCGGCGACCGGTTCGCGAGGGGTTGGCGGTGGGGTTACGTTGATGGTCACTCGGATTAGCCCTTGCTGTACTGAGCTACCGCCTGCAGTGCCTTATCGCCGGCTGGTGTCAACAACGAGAACACACACACCCTGTCTACACCAAAACTACAAGCGTTCACCGCACACGCGTCGCCGCCGCTTTTAAGGTTTTGTGAAATCGCTTTCTTTTGCCGCGGAGAACCGCCTTATCTTAACTACGCGCCTGAAATCCTTCCAGGCGGGCGTACACAATATCAAGCGTTTCGAGAAATGCCCGTGGAGTAGAACTATGGGAAAATTCGGAGCCCGCGATGTCGATATCGTCGCCGTTGTGTTAGTACGCCGTCGCGTACTGCAGTCCCCCGTTGGGGGAGGGGGGGGGGCGGTCTTACTACGATAACATGGCGACAGCGTTTACACTCTATGTATTTACGCGAGGCTCGAGTGTTTGAGGATAATGCTGCCGGTTGGTGTGCCCCTTTGTGCCTGATATTATCGCCCGTGACGCCAGCGAGTGAGATGGCGACAGGCATGACTGCTCAGTAAACAGGCGTCGGCGGCCATGCTTTGCTGGTTGAAGCGAACCCCCTTGTCCTTGACAGCGAGCGGGGAAATGCGAAAAAAAGATTGTATCGGCCGTTTTGCCAGAACTAGCGACGAGTGTCGTCTGCGGTTTCCGGCAACTATTTTGCCATAATCGTGAGCTTAGCGAGGAAATGATTTTTGCTAGCCACAGAACACTACCACGCAGAAAGGGAATGCTTGAACATGTTTTTGTTCTGGATATATATCAGGGATATATATGAGAAAGAGAGAGAGAGAGAGAGATGAAGGTAGAGCGGAAGAGGGAATAGCATATAGTGTCGCAGGAGAATAAAGTAAACAAAGTTCCTAGGGGCCGATGGCTGCATGATCTTTTCTCGGATCACTAGTCCGTAATATGATACCTCTTTGTACACAGTAGTTTCTCCTTAATTTAAGTGTGTGAACGATTTCTTTAGTTATCATTGGCCTCATCTGAATAAAAATATATAAAAGATGTGTGTTGGTTTCATGAAACTGGAACTCAGAGTCAGTTCTTGTATAAAACACTGCTAAGTGTAGGCTTTGAAAAAGGACCCTACTTTGGGGAGTTGTATCTTCTTTCTCAATAAAATGACGCAACATGTTTTTAATGGAAATGAATG